TGACGCTGTGTGTGTGACGCTGTGTGTGTGACGCTGTGTGTGTGACGCGTGTGGTGTGTGACGCTGTGTGTTGTGACGCTGTGTGTGTGTGACGCTGTGTGTGTGTGACGCTGTGTGTGTGACGCTGTGTGTGTTGACTCTGTGTGTGTGACGCTGCTGTGTGTGTGACGCTGTGTGTGTGACGCATGTGTATGTTATGCTGTTGTGTGTGATGCTGTGTGTGTGACGCTTGTGTGTGTGACGCTGTGTGTGTGACGCTGTGTGTGTGACACTGTGTGTGACGCTGTGTGTGTGACGCTGTGTGTGACGCTGTGTGTGTGACGCTGTGTGTGTGACGCTGTGTGTGTGACGCTGTGTGTGTGATGCTGTGTGTGTGACGCTGTGTGTGTGACGCTGTGTGTGTGACGCTGTGTGTGTGACGCTGTGTGTGTGACGCTGTGTGTGTGTGACGCTGTGTGTGTGACGCTGTGTGTGTGACGCTGTGTGTGTGATGCTGTGTGTGTGTGTGACGCTGTGTGTGTGACGCTGTGTGTGTGACGCTGTTGTGTGACGCTGTGTGTGTGACGCTGTGTGTGTGTGACGCTGTGTGTGTGACGCTGTGTGTGTGACGCTGTGTGTGTGACGCTGTGTGTGTGTGACGCTGTGTGTGACTGTGTGTGACGCTGTGTGTGTGACGCTGTGTGTGTGACGCTGTGTGTGTGACGCTGTGTGTGTGACGCTGTGTGTGTGTGATGCTGTGTGTGTGTTGACTGCTGTGTGTTGTGACGCTGTGTGTGTGAGCTGTGTGTTTGTGACTGCTGTGTGTTGTGTGACGCTGTGTGTGTGTGACGCTGTGTGTTGTGACTGCTGTTTGTGTCCGACTGCTGTGTGTGTGACGCTTGTGGTGTTGTGCACGCGTGTGTGTGTGGACGCTGTGTGTGTGACGCTGTGTGGTGTGACGCTGTGTGTGTGACGCTGTGTGGTGACGCTGTGGTGTGACGCTGTGTTGTGTGACGCTGTGTGTGTGACGCTGTGTGTGTGATCGCTGGTGTGTGACGCTGTGTGTGTGTGAATGCTGGTGTGTGTGACGCTGTGTGTGTGACGCTGTGTGTGTGACGCTGCTGCTGTGTGTGTGACGCTGCTGCTGTGTGTGACGCTGTGTGTGTGATGCTGTGTGTGTGTGACTGACTGCTGTGTGTGTGTGACGCTGTGTGTGTGACGATGTGTGTGTGACGCTGTGTGTGTGACGCTGTGTGGGTGGTTGAAGCTGTGTGTGTGTGACGCTGTGTGTGTGACGCTGTGTGTGTGACGCTGTGTGTGGTGACTGCTGTGTGTGACTGTGTTGTGACGCTGTGTGTGTACGCCAGTGTGTGTGACGCTTGTGTGTGTGACGCTGTGTGTGTGACGCTGTGTGTGGTGACTGCTGTGGTGTGTGTGTGTGACGCTGTGTGTGTGACGCTGTGTGTGACGCTGTGTGTGTGACGCTGTGTGTGTGACGCTGTGTGTTGTAGTGTGTGTGACGCTGTGTGTGTGACGCTGTGTGTGACGCTGTGTGTGTGACGCTGTGTGTGTGACGCTGTGTGTGTGTGACGCTGTGTGTGACTGTGTGTGACGGTGTGTGTGTGACGCTGTGTGTGTGACGCTGTGTGTGTGACGCTGTGTGTGTGACGCTGTGTGTGACGCTGTGTTGTGACTGTGTGTGTGACGCTGTGTGTGTGACGCTGTGTGTGTGACGCTGTGTGTGTGACGCTGTGTGTGTGACGCTGTGTGTGTGACGCTGTGTGTGTGACGCTGTGTGTGTGACGCTGTGTGTGTTATGCTGTGTGTGTGACGCTGTGTGTGTGACGCTGTGTGTGTGTGATGCTGTGTGTGTGACGCTGTGTGTGTGACGCTGTGTGTGTGTGATGCTGTGTGTGACGCTGTGTGTGTCGCTGTGTGTGTGACGCTGTGTGTGTGTGTGACGCTGTGTGTGTGACGCTGTGTGTGTGATGCTGTGTGTGTGATGCTGTGTGTGTGACGCTGTGTGTGTGACGCTGTGTGTGTGACGCTGTGTGTGTTATGTTGTGTGTGTGTGACGCTGTGTGTGTGACGCTGTGTGTGTGACGCTGTGTGTGTGTGTGACGCTGTGTGTGTGACGCTGTGTGTGTGACGCTGTGTGTGTGATGCTGTGTGTGTGACGCTGTGTGTGTGTTATGTTGTGTGTGTGTGATGCTGTGTGTGTGACGCTGTGTGTGTGACGCTGTGTGTGACTGTGTGTGACGCTGTGTGTGTGACGCTGTGTGTGTGACGCTGTGTGTGTGACGCTGTGTGTGTGTGACGCTGTGTGTGACGCTGTGTGTGTGACGCTGTGTGTGTGACGCTGTGTGTGTGACGCTGTGTGTGTGTGACGCTGTGTGTGTGACGCTGTGTGTGTGACGCTGTGTGTGTGACGCTGTGTGTGTGTGTGACGCTGTGTGTGTGCGCTGTGTGTGACGCTGTGTGTGACGTGTGTGTGACGCTGTGTGTGCTGTGTGACGCTGTGTGTGTGACGCTTGTGTGGTGACGCTGTGTGTGGTGACGCTGTGTGTGACTGTGTGTGACGCTGTGTGTGTGACGCTGTGTGTGTGATGCTGTGTGTGTGACGCTGTGTGTGTGTGTGACGCTGTGTGTGTGACGCTGTGTGTTGTGACGCTGTGTGTGACTGTGTGTGACGCTGTGTGTGTGACGCTGTGTGTGTGACGCTGTGTGTGTGACGCTGTGTGTGTGACGCTGTGTGTGTGACGCTGCGTGTGTGACGCTATGCGTGTGACGCTGTGTGTGTGACACTTTGTGTGTGACGCTGTGTGTGTGACGCTGCGTGTGTGACGCTATGCGTGTGACGCTGTGTGTGTGACGCTGTGTGTGACTGGTGGTGACGCTGTGTGTGTGACGCTGTGTGTGTGACGCTGTGTGTGTGACGCTGTGTGTGTGACGCTGTGTGTGTGACGCTGTGTGTGTGTGTGACGCTGTGTGTGACGCTGTGTGTGTGACGCTGTGTGTGACTGTGTGTGACGCTGTGTGTGTGACGCTGTGTGTGTGACGCTGTGTGTGTGACGCTGTGTGTGACTGTGTGTGACGCTGTGTGTGTGATGCTGTGTGTGTGACGCTGTGTGTGTGACGCTGTGTGTGTGACGCTGTGTGTGTGACGCTGTGTGTGTGACGCTGTGTGTGTGACGCTGTGTGTGTGTGACGCTGTGTGTGTGACGCTGTGTGTGTGACGCTGTGTGTGTGACGCTGTGTGTGTGACGCTGTGTGTGTGTGTGACGCTGTGTGTGTGACGCTGTGTGTGTGACGCTGTGTGTGACTGTGTGTGACGCTGTGTGTGTGACGCTGTGTTGTGACGCTGTGTGTGTGACGCTGTGTGTGTGACGCTGTGTGTGTGACGCTGTGTGTGTGTGACGCTGTGTGTGTGACGCTGTGTGTGTGACGCTGTGTGTGTGACGCTGTGTGTGTGACGCTGTGTGTGTGACGCTGTGTGTGGACGCTGTGTGTGTGACGCTGTGTGTGTGTGTGACGCTGTGTGTGTGACGCTGTGTGTGTGACGCTGTGTGTGACTGTGTGTGACGCTGTGTGTGTGACGCTGTGTGTGTGACGCTGTGTGTGTGACGCTGTGTGTGTGACGCTGTGTGTGTGACGCTGTGTGTGTGACGCTGTGTGTGTGACGCTGCGTGTGTGACGCTATGCGTGTGACGCTGTGTGTGTGACACTGTGTGTGTGACGCTGTGTGTGTGACGCTGCGTGTGTGACGCTATGCGTGTGACGCTGTGTGTGTGACACTGTGTGTGTGACGCTGTGTGTGTGACGCTGCGTGTGTGACGCTATGCGTGTGACGCTGTGTGTGTGACACTGTGTGTGTGACGCTGTGTGTGTGACGCTGCGTGTGTGACGCTGTGTGTGTGACGCTGCGTGTGTGACGCTATGCGTGTGATGCTGTGTGTGTGAGGCTGGTGTGTGACGCTGTGTGTGTGATGCTGTGTGTGTGACGCTGTGTGTGTGACGCTGTGTGTGACTGTGTGTGACGCTGTGTGTGTGATGCTGTGTGATGACGCTGAGTGTTGATGTATGAAGCTATGTGTGACGCTATGTGTGACGCTGTGTGTGTGACGCTGTGTGTGTGACGCTCTGTGACGCCGTGTGTGACACTGTGTGTTGATGTATGATGCTGTATGACGCTATGTGTGACGCTATGTATGACGCTATGTATGATGCTGTGTGTGTGACGCTGCGCGTGACGCCAGTCGGACATCTTCTTCATGGCGTCGGGCCTGGTGACGTCGCGGCGCTGCTCCACGGAGCACAGCGCCGTCACCACGCCGCAGACGCCGCCCGGCGACGAGGAGCCGGCGCTGCCGCCCGCCCTGTCGCAGGACGGTGAGGACCGCCCTCGGGTCAGCGGTCACGTGACCACGCGCCACGCTGCCGCTCGCACTGCTGACGATGACGATGATGTCCCTCCACCCTCCGCCCGCCACAGGGGAGCATCAGCCGCGTCACATCTACAAGATCCCTCTCAGCAACCTGGTGGGGAGGAGCATCGAAAGGCCGCTCAAGTCCCCCCTTGTGGCCGTGGCCACTAGCCCACAGGCGGCCCCCGGTGGGGGTGGAGGGGGCGGGGGGGGCGCCCAGCCGCCACCCATCCCAGCGTCGCACTCCCTGCCGTCGACGCGAATGGAGATCAAGGAGATCGCGACGCGCACTCGCAGGGAGCTGCTGGGTGAGCTCGGGGCGGGTGGAGGAGTGGACGGGTGGACGGGTGGGCGGGCGGTAGACGAGAGGACGGGGGAGTGGACAAGTGGATGACTAGACGGAGGGGTGAGGCGAGTGGAGAGGTGAATGGAGGAGAAGACGGATTAATGGACGACTGGATGGGTGAATGGACGACTGGGTGGGTGAATGGACAACCGGATGGATGATTGGACGACTAGACGGATGGAGGACCGGATGGGTGAATGGACGACTGGGTGGGAGAATGGACGTCACGTTGATTTTTTATATGGAGAGGGGAAAACCGGAGGAACCGGAGAAAAATCCACACGACCACAGGGAGAGAGAGAGACACGCAAACTCCAAATACACAGCTGGAATCAGGGTCGGGATCGAACCCACGACCTCCTGTACACCAGGCGAGGTAGTTAACATCTCCTAGCCACCGTGATGATGATGAGAGAGAGACACGCAAACTCCACATATACAGCAGCAGTCGTCAGAGTCGGGATCGAACCCACGACCTCCTGTACACCAGGCGAGGTAGTTAACATCTAGCCACCGCGGTGCCCACGATTCAGCAGCGTGCCCCAAAGTCAGGCAGGAACCCAAAAAAGCGAGGCATTTCCCGGGTCAACAAGCGCAACGATAACAACAACAACGACAACAACAACAGCAGCGGCAATGGTAATGACTGGCAGAGGTCGCAAACGGGTTTTGATTCCTTACCCGTACCCGGCAGCACCAGGGTTGCAAATGGGTACCCGTACCCGGCCGGGTACGGGTACCCATTCCCTACCCGTACCCGTACCCTACCCGAAATGAGTGACAAACAGTTACTCACCAGTGACTCACGGCCTACCCGTACCCGTACCCGGCCGCACCAGGGTCGCAAACGGATACCCGTACCCGTACCCGGCCGGGTATCGGGTAGGGTACGGGTATCGGGTACCCGGTTGCGACCTCTGATGAACGGTCACCAACGCGGTGTGCAGGCCTCTCTGAAGATCTCCCGCAGGCACGAGGCGAAGCTGCAAGCGGGAAGCAAAGGTGGCCACGGGGGGGGGGGCCCTCCGGGGAGAGAGCGTGCCCCCCACGATCCACAAGCAGCGACAGGTGACGCACAAAGACGCAAAGACCTATTACACACAAAGACAAAGATCCCCCGTATAGACTAAATAGACTGTAGGGGCAAGTGCTGTTAGCGAACACCTATGAAGGCCGGCACGGCGCACGAGGGGGTGGGTGGCCAGCAACCACGCCCGGCCGCCTTTGTCTCCTCAGTGGGGAGTTTTACACACAGCACCAGGTACTCATTTGAGGCTGAGTGAGCGGGAGTCGAACTCGGGTCGCCGGGTTTGTAGCGCAGCATAGCGCTAACCACCACACTATTACACACATACACACACACTGCCCATAGACTCAACACTGCCCATAGACTCAACACTGCCCATAGACTCAACACTGCCCATAGACTCAACACTACCCACAGACTCAACACTACCCATAGACTCAACACTACCCATATACTCAACACTACCCATAGACGCAACACTGCCCATAGACTCAACACTACCCATAGACTCAACTCTACCCATAGACTCAACACTACCCATAGACTCAACACTACCCATATACTCAACACTACCCATAGACTCAACACTACCCATAGATGCAACACTGCCCATAGACTCAACACTACCCATAGACTCAACACTGCCCATAGACTCAACACTACCCATAGACTCAACACTACCCACAGACTCAACACTACCCACAGACTCAACACTACCCATAGCTTCCGCTCCCAGAACATTAAAACCCCACAACGCCACCGCCACCACCGTCGCCTCCACCACCACCAGAGCCATCAGAATCTGTTACTTACACCCGAAGAATCCGATGAGCTAGGAAGCTCTTTTTCACCCATATCCACCTGCCCCCCACCTCACTCCACCCCCAGGTTCACATCTCGCAGCTTCGAGTCGTCCTCTTCGTCGGGGGGCTCCGAGCCACCCCCCTCGGCCGGCGCGTCGCAGGAGGCGGACGGCACCGGCGGCGGCGATGGCGGCGACGTCGTCGGCGTGATGGCGGCGTGCGTGTCGGTCGCGTCGGACGCGGCGGCGGTCGCCGGCCTGGCCACGGCGTGCGTGGCCGCGGCGCGCGGCAGAAGGAGGCCGCGGACCCCCGGGGGAGCCGAGCCGTCGAGCCCCTTCCGCCTGTCGGCGTCGCTCGACGAGGGAGACGACGTCGATCTCAAGTGATGGCGGCTGCGGCGGCGATGGTGATGATGATGGATGATGATGATGACGATGATGATGATGATGACGATGATGATGACGATGATGACGACAATGAAGATGATGACGACGATGATGACGACGATAGCCACACCTCTTTCACCCCTCCCCCCCCCCCCCATTGGCGCTGGGTCCATGCACCAGGCGCGGCCAAAGGTCGATCGCTCGCTCCATATTCTCCGGATCGCTCAATGCAAGCGGTCCGGGCTTGCAATAGGGGACTGTCGTCATTAGGTGCGGCCATACCTGTCAACCCATTATCGGTGCCCGCATTATCACAGACCAATTCAGAGCTTGTTGATCACCCCATAGCCCATCGTGAATCTCAACGTTCACCCCACAAAGTCCCATCGCAAGGGAGAAATGCAAAGAGACCAAAATTACGGGGGGGGTTTTGGCCATACTGAAACGGCCGTACGCCCGCATGGACCTGAAAAACTCAATTTCCCCATGCTAGAATACGGGGTAAACCGTGTGGGTTGACAGGTATGCATTACACTATACACTACTATACACTACACTATACACTACACTATACACTACACTATACACTACTATACACTACACTATACACGACAATATACACTACACTATACACTACTATACACTACACTACACACTACAATATACACTACACTATACACTACAATATACACTACTATACACTACACTATACACTACAATATACACTACTATACACTACACTATACACTACACTATACACTACTATACACTACACTATACACTACAATATACACTACTATACACTACAATATACACTACACTATACACTACAATATACACTACTATACACTACACTATACACTACACTATACACTACAATATACACTACAATATACACTACACTATACACTACAATATACACTACTATACACTACACTATACACTACAATATACACTACTATACACTACACTATACACTACACTATACACTACTATACACTACACTATACACTACACTATACACTACACTATACACTACAATATACACTAGTATACACTACACTATACACTACACTATACACTACAATATACACTACAATATACACTACTATACACTACACTATACATTACACTATACACTACAATATACACTACAATATACACTACACTATACACTACAATATACACTACTATACACTACAATATACACTACACTATACACTACAATATACACTACTATACACTACACTACTATACACTGCTATACACTACACTATACATTACACTATACACTACAATATACACTACAATATACACTACACTATACACTACAATATACACTACTATACACTACAATATACACTACACTATACACTACAATATACACTACTATACACTACACTACTATACACTACTATACACTGCTATACCCTCTACACTATACATTACCATACCTGTCAACCCCTTATCAGTGCCCCACCTTATCACAGACCAACTCAGACCTTATTGATCAACCCGTGCTCTTTATAAATCTCAACGTTCACCCCACAAAGTCCCATCACAAGGAGAGAAACACAAACAAATGGACAAAACACTTTCGCCCGTACTGAAACGTCCGTACGCCCGTATGGACCTGAAAACTCAATTTCCCTGCGTAAGAATACGGGGGGCAACCCGTGATGGGTTGACACGGTGTGCACTACCACTCGGGTACAAGGTTTGCTTACCCCTAGAAATGCTACGGCGTTATCGTAACCCTGGATTTGCCCCCCCTGAAATCATGTGCAGAGGTTTAGGCTACGATAAGGAGGGATGGATTTTGAAATGAGGCATTGGCTTTGGCTCTTACGGGGGGGTGGGGACATCTTGATAATTAGTGACGTTAATATTCTTAGGTTTTTTTCGGTAAAGTCACGTAAATTCATAAAAAGTGTGCCGTACCTGGCCCTTCCCCTCTCCAACCATTATATATACGGAGTGGTAGCTCTTGCAATCTCTCATTTAGTTGATACAGCTGTCGTGGCTGTGACGGTTCCACCTGAAGACGGAAGCTTGTGTTGCCTCCGAAACGTCGTGAATTTTATTTTATTTTACTTTTATTAATTTAAATTTTTTAACTACGTGACTTTACCGAAAAAAAACCTAAGAATATGAATCCTTGCAGTCACGAAAGCTTCAAATCTAGAATTTGTGACGTTAATTGCCAAACGTGCAAGGAAGAGCCGTTTCAAATGTATCACGCCAACGTGGGCGACCCAATTTGAATAACATTTGCATAAATTAAATCAGATGAGCCAGATCGCAGAGAGCTGGGGGTCAATGTTGTAATTCATGGCGATGATGTCATCGTCGTCGTGACGTCATCGCCGTGATGTCATATCATCATGATTATGACATCACGACGATGTCGTCATCATAATGACGTCGTGATGATGACGTGTGATGATGATGACGTCATGTTGATGATGTCATCGTCGTCGTGACGTCATCGCCGTGATGTCATATCATCATCATGATTATGACATCACGACGATGTCGTCATCATAATGTCGTCGTGATTATGACGTGATGATGATGACGTCATGTTGATGATGTCATCGTCGCCGTGACGTCATCGCCGTGAAGTCATCATCATGATTATGACATCACGACGATGTCCTCATCATAATGGCATCGTGATGATGACGTAATTATCATGACGTCATGGTGATGACGTATTCGTCATGATGTTATAATCGTCATCATCATCGCAGTGCCACGATTTCAATTATTTCTCCACTGCCATGTCTCTGTGTGTGTGCACGTGCTCATTGCATCTCTACCAGATCACACACTCACCAGAGCGGTGAAGTATGGACAGATATCTTGCCCTTCTCACCCCACCCCCACCCCCCTTCCCCAGCCTTAGAGCTTGGGAAAATCCTTCATCCAGCAGTAGAAAGACCATGGCCGCCGCCTACGACGACGACGATGATGATCACCTTCTTGGTTCTTTCGGTAAAGTCACGTAGAAGGAAAATAATAAAATAATACAAATAAAACATTATAAAATAATTCTCACGACGTTTCGGCCACAACGCAAGCAGCCGTCTTCATAGACTCAACAGGTCTGTTCTCCACCTGAAGACGGCTGCTTGCGTTGTGGCCGAAACGTCGTGAGAATTATTGTATTATGTTTAATTTTTATTATTTTCCATCTACGTGACTTTACCGAAAGAACCAAGAAGATGAATCCCTGCAGTCACGAAAGCTTTAAATCGAGATGATGATCACTTTGACGATGATCACTTTGACGATGATCACTTTGACAAAGCTTTGGCCCCCGAGTTCAATTCCCGCCCAGATGCCTCTCACTCTCCGAAGCCCCTGGGGCAGTACCCGAGCGACTTGCCACCGACCCCGCCGGCGGGTGCCGTTTGCCACCTCGGTTAACCCCAACGCTCGCAGTTTGTTTCTCTCAGTCATCGCACGGCGCGTGTCCCACTTTGCCTGCCCTCGACGGGACGACGACGCGGACGGGTTTTTGGATTAGAACTGCCGCGGCTCACGCCTTTCAGTTGTGCAAACGTGAGTCTATGACCAGTGTTGAGTCTATGGGTAGTGTTGAGTCTATGGGCAGTGTTGAGTGTATGGGTAGTGTTGAGTCTATGGGCAGTGTTGAGTCTATGGGCAGTGTTGAGTCTATGGGTAGTGTTGAGTCGATGGGCAGTGTTGAGTCTATGGACAGTGTTGAGTCTATGGGTAGTGTTGAGTCTATGGGCAGTGTTGAGTCTATGGGCAGTGTTGAGTCTATGGGTAGTGTTGAGTCTATGGGTAGTGTTGAGTCTATGGGCAGTGTTGAGTCTATGGGTAGTGTTGAGTCTATGGGTAGTGTTGAGTCTATGGGTAGTGTTGAGTCTATGGGTAGTGTTGAGTCTATGGGTAGTGTTGAGTCTATGGGTAGTGTTGAGTCTATGGGCAGTGTTGAGTCTATGGACAGTGTTGAGTCTATGGGTAGTGTTGAGTCTATGGGTAGTGTTGAGTCTATGGACAGTGTTGAGTCTATGGGCAGTGTTGAGTCTATGGGCAGTGTTGAGTCTATGGGCAGTGTTGAGTCTATGGGCAGTGTTGAGTCTATGGGTAGTGTTGAGTCTATGGGCAGTGTTGAGTCTATGGGTAGTGTTGAGTCTATGGGCAGTGTTGAGTGTATGGGCAGTGTTGAGTCTATGGGCAGTGTTGAGTGTATGGGCAGTGTTGAGTCTATGGGTAGTGTTGAGTCTATGGGCAGTGTTGAGTCTATGGGTAGTGTTGAGTCTATGGGCAGTGTTGAGTCTATGGTAGTGTTGAGTCTATGGGCAGTGTTGAGTCTATGGGCAGTGTGAGTCTATGGGTAGTGTTGAGTCTATGGGTAGTGTTGAGTCTATGGGCAGTGTTGAGTCTATGGGTAGTGTTGAGTCTATGGGCAGTGTTGAGTCTATGGGTAGTGTTGAGTGTATGGGTAGTGTTGAGTCTATGGCAGTGTTGAGTCTATGGGTAGTGTTGAGTCTATGGGTAGTGTTGAGTCTATGGGTAGTGTTGAGTCTATGGGCAGTGTTGAGTATATGGGTAGTGTTGAGTCTATGGGCAGTGTTGAGTCTATGGGTAGTGTTGAGTCTATGGGTAGTGTTGAGTCTATGGGTAGTGTTGAGTCTATGGGCAGTGTTGAGTATATGGGTAGTGTTGAGTCTATGGGCAGTGTTGAGTCTATGGGTAGTGTTGAGTCTATGGGTAGTGTTGAGTCTATGGGCAGTGTTGAGTCTATGGGTAGTGTTGAGTCTATGGGCAGTGTTGAGTCTATGGGTAGTGTTGAGTCTATGGGCAGTGTTGAGTCTATGGGTAGTGTTGAGTCTATGGGCAGTGTTGAGTCTATGGGTAGTGTTGAGTCTATGGGCAGTGTTGAGTCTATGGGTAGTGTTGAGTCTATGGGTAGTGTTGAGTCTATGGGCAGTGTTGAGTCTATGGGTAGTGTTGAGTCTATGGGCAGTGTTGAGTCTATGGGTAGTGTTGAGTGTATGGGTAGTGTTGAGTCTATGGGCAGTGTTGAGTCTATGGGTAGTGTTGAGTCTATGGGTAGTGTTGAGTCTATGGGTAGTGTTGAGTCTATGGGCAGTGTTGAGTGTATGGGTAGTGTTGAGTCTATGGGCAGTGTTGAGTCTATGGGTAGTGTTGAGTCTATGGGTAGTGTTGAGTCTATGGGCAGTGTTGAGTCTATGGGTAGTGTTGAGTCTATGGGCAGTGTTGAGTCTATGGGTAGTGTTGAGTCTATGGGCAGTGTTGAGTGTATGGGCAGTGTTGAGTCTATGGGTAGTGTTGAGTCTATGGGCAGTGTTGAGTGTAGGGCATGTTGAGTCTATGGTGCAGTGTTGAGTCTATGGGCAGTGTTGAGTCTATGGGCAGTGTTGAGTCTATGGGCAGTGTTGAGTCTATGGGCAGTGGTGAGTGTATGGGCAGTGTTGAGTCTATGGGCAGTGTTGAGTCTATGGGCAGTGGTGAGTGTATGGGCAGTGTTGAGTCTAT